TCAATGTATTCAAAATTTAAAAAGAATCAAAGTTGGATAAATAGGAAGACATCTGATAATACTGTTGAAGTCCTTTGTTAAGCGCACACATGTCAAGTACGTCAGTACTGTATACACAGGGGTTTCACCAAGTTATGGAGTAATATAGATTTTAAAAAGCAGGAGACCAAAAAGTTATAACAAAAACCCTGTGCACAGGTCTAAAAATCTGGGTTGGTAAAAAGTGATAGCGAAGATATCAAGTTAATATTACATGATCAAAATACAATGTACACACAAACAGTGTTCAGACATTTTGGGCTCACCAAGATTCATGACCCCTTCAAAGGTCACACATCCTGGTACTTTGTATGACCTGGTTTTTCAAAGGTCACACATCCTGGTACTTTGTATGACCTGGTTTTTCAAAGGTCACACATCCGGGAACTTGTATTCTAACACAGGAAATATTTTTTTGTTTAAATCTGAAGTGTTTTCAAAGTGAAATTACAAAACATTAAAAATATTACTTGTGAGCTCCAGTGTACCATGGTGAAAATATTTCTGTGATGATATTTTGTGACTTAAGCATCACATAATTTTAAGGGACCAGGAACAGAACAGGAACTGTTGAAATTTTTTTATATAATTCAACAGTGTATAGAGTGGAGGAAAGAAATAACCAACATAAACTCTCCCCACTTTATTATATCTGGTTGACGGGCATACCCACACAAGAAAAACTCAATATGACAATATAATAATTGTTATGCAACAGCCGAAAAATCAATTTGAGAAAACCATGAATAAATGATCACAATGCAGTACGTAAATGCTATACACGATTCACTGTGCACTTAATATCTATCGGTAAGGTAAGGGAGGGGCAAGTTTTAATAATGGGGACGTTTTGATTCAATGTAAATGCACTTTTTGTAAAATATAATAATTAAATTTGCGATGCTATAAACAATAAAAGTGTACAATAAAATACGTATTCTTGCAAGCTGTAGAATTTGACAGTAAATTTGCATAGACATACTCGGTATATGTACGAAGAACATCGTAATATACCGGTAGAATGAGGGATTTCATTTTAATGTGAAAATGTGCCTTCCCAGTAATTATGTAAATTCCAGATTTATTTGCTGTAAGAGAACCAGACATTCTTGCATTCCATCATGATGTCTAACGATACAGCTTTCATGGTTTTTCATTCTGATTTCCTTCTTTAGCATTCATTACCATGTATCATAAAATAAACCTATAACTCCGCGAAAGATGTCAAAATATGTACCGGGTACCGGTACATCTTTATCCAAAATATAAAAGGAATAATGAATCTGATTGGTTCAACAGGTCCAATGAGACATTATACACACATTATAAATCCCTAAAACATAAAGTTTTATAAATATCTCTTATGCGCATAAATCACTTCAATATTTATTCTCGAACACACACCCAGTTTCTAATTCATCAGTAAATTTACGAGGTAATACATTTATTTCAGAAATGGCGACGATAAAACGCTAACAGACAATGCTCAAGGTAATATGTATTTCAAAAGAAATTAATTATTATTACTAATTGTAATGAAAATGGCAGTAACAAATTCATCATCTGGGGAATGACAAAATATGTGATATAATAGGTATCATGGTATAATCCGTAGGGACCCAGAGTTACAACGATTCATGGGTGCTTTAACGATCACCGACAGTGATTTAGCAACAATTCAACATACGAGGTCGACTCAGAGTTTGGTCAGTAAAGCATTCTATAAAGAAGAGATCCAATCTCGCATAAAAGAATATATCACACCCTCGCAAGTACATCACACCAAGATAATTATCATCAATAACCATGGTGACAGGATCACTGATCATTCTATCACCCAGTTTGTTTATGACCCAAGGGTAGATAATTTACCATTCACTGTGTGGAACCATCTATGATTACCCTATTTGCACTTTTAAAAACACATCTCCAATATAAATGAATATAAGCAAAAAATCACATTTATTGTTTTATTAATAAAATATTACTTATTTAGATTAAATGATGTAAATGCAAGGAAAAGCACGATACTGCAAAGTCTCACAACCGGAATAATTATGGTTTTCCATAAAAATTTTAAACAAAAAATTATAATAAAGTTTCAATAAATAAATACTAGAATAATCTCACCCACATATCTATTGATGTATTACACTACATTTGTATAATTGGTGTATACCGTAAAATTGTCCCCGCAATAAATGTCTGCACTGTGATTTTTTTTACAGGACTTTTTTTTTGGAAAAATTCAAAATAAAATTTCACCACAAATTATTTAGATAACGATAGATAGATTGAAGCGTCATTGTCATCGCATCCAGCCATATTGTGGGATCAATCCATCGTATACACGTTTATACATTTACATGAAATTTGCAGCAGGACTATGTAATCAAATTGAAAGAACAGATGTAAAAGCTAAACTATAAGCAGTTTCTTACACACAGACAGAAAATTTTAATTTTCTAGCTACTCTCCCTTCCATATATTACAATCGTAAAACTTTGTAAAGGTCGTATTTAATAAATAGAAGAAACTGTCTTATAGGAGGGAAAACAGTTTTATTAAAACAAGATTGCAGACAGTAATTCCCAGTAACAGAAAGCATTGTATAGCGCAACTGTTTCCATGGAAACATAAACAACAAGCTTTGCTTATAATAATAAGCTATAATCCATGTTTTGTATGCTAGTGGCACTTATTTTATTTTTATACATTGAACAAAGATCTGTGTGATTTGCATGACTATTGTTTAATCCGAAAAACATCAATTATTCACCAGACAATATAGCTCATTTTTATATGATAATTTGACTAAATAAAAAATTTATTCTTGCTTTTATTCATTCAATTTTATGCATGTTATCATGTTTTGATTCTAGCATGCAAGAAAAAAAAGAGAATTATTTTGGTCATATATCTTGTCAGACAAAATTATAGCATCAGTTTCATGTCCCTATCAGCAACAGTACTTTGATTTCAAGCCAAAACTAATCAGGTTTGAGCATTATCCCAGGGCATCATGTACTAAGTTTCATAAAAATCTGTTTAATGGTACTTGAGAAACAAGTGAAAATGCTTAAAATGTGCTAGTCAATATGCAAATTAGGTTATTACTATGCATGGATTTTCACTCAAAACTAATCAGGTCTGTGAATAGTCATGGAGCATCTTTGTACCAAGTTGAATGTAAAGATTAGTACTTAAATATCAGCATAAAAGCTGAAAATTTACTCATTATACAAATTTAGTATTTAGTATGCATGAATCCAATACTTATCAGGTCTGTGCATTGTCTTGTGACATCTATGTACCAAGTTTTATTGTAATGTGATGATAAGTAATAATAATAATATTTATTAAGCCTTTGGAACGGCAACAAGAGCAAACAAAAGAGATAAAAGTAACTCAAGATATCAGTGGGAAAGTCGAAAATCCTTATGCAAATTAGGTATGCATGGATTTTTACCCAAAACTAATCAGGTCTGAACATTGTCCCAGAGCATCTATGTACCAAGTTTCATCAATATCCAATGAGTGGTTCTTTAGATATCAGTGGAACAGTCATGGAACAGCTAAAAATCAGCTAATTATCATGCAAATCAAATCTGCGTTTTAGCCCAGAGCATCTATACACCAAGTTTCATCAAAAACCAACATATGGTTCTTGAGATATCAGAGGAACAGACACACACACATGCAGAAAGGCTAACAGCAAAGACTCCCATTGTGTGCTTTGCACACAGGAGTCAATTTAAAGAAAAATACATAAAATGTGTGAAATTGGGCTGAAGCAAATAGTACCAGTACTCACATGGTGAAATTACTTTGGATCTAAAAAGTAGATTTTAACTCCATGCTATGACAGAGAGCATATTAAATTGAATGAATGTTTTGAATGAATATTTTAAAATCCTACCATGAAAACTAAAAATCTATTCCTACCATAGAGCTCCATGATCTACGTACCTCAAAGATTAGCCATTTCCAGACTATTGACAGAAAGACAGGTCACACTAAACTAAACAATCTTATAAGGAGGACCTGATTATCAGAGTAAGCTGGAGGTAAATATGAACAAGAATAATGACAACAATAGAGTGATAAAACTGTTTATCTGGATTTAGCCTACTCAAAAACACACAGGCAGAATGTACAAAACATTAGCTTTGTTCACATGTGCTGGGAAACGAAGAGCAAGATCGCTTTGTAAATATTCCACATCAGTGAGCTAAACCTGCAATTTGTTGTATGTTCTTGTAGTTTACATTTAATTTGATGTTCACACCTTTTCATGCCTTATTCCCCTACTATTGAATAGGTAGGGAACTGTTTTAAACCAGAGACTTTGTTCACACGCGTCTCATCTCAGGGTTAAACATGAAAGTCGGGATCAAGACCAGCTCTCTGACTCTGAGCTACACTATCCGGGGTTAATGTGTTCACAGGTGTTTTCCTACAGTGGGTTAAAATTAAGCCCACGTTGTATTACACGTATGAATACCACAACTGACTACATTGGTATTTTCGAAACATGGTCCTTGTTAGCCAATAAGGTTCCATAATCCTTTTAATTTCCCCTAATGGGAATTTATTAATTTTAATTAGGATATTGATGAGAATAACCTTTTATAAAAGCCCCTGTGACTCTAGATTTCAATATCATATAAGTCGCTTCACATTGTTTTGCCACAGTATCCCAGAACCACAAGTAAACTTGAAGTATGCCATATTTGTATGGCATTTCATTTCAATGTGGCATTGGATACAATTCACTATCTTAATATCACCAATGATAAATAGTTTCACAGCATAATCATTTTATCTATGGATACTAACACAAAAACTGATGGAGACTAAACTGGAATGCAAACGATGACTGTAAAAAACCATACAAAGAGCTGTTGGATATATTTTTTTGGGGCCGGGGTGACAATTTCTCATAAAATGTTGGAACCTACCTTTTGTTAATGCATGTATTCCCATCTTCACCTGCGAGAAGTTGCCACTGCCAAGTTCACCACGGATACGATAAAATCCAATACGCTTCCCAAGCGTTATCTCCTTGATCACCCTCTGATCGTTACTCAGATCATGCGAGAGCCGCTCGTATGCAGTCAATCGCCGAGCACGTTCAACAGTGTTCCCATTCTCGCCTGTTTGCGACTGTTCGCTATGCGACAGTGATGTTGTTGTGTTCTCAATGCTTTCTCTGTGGACAACACCTACACCGCTTGAACGTCTACTTCCCGGTGATGACATCTTCAAAACACTACGCCGTCAATCACAGTAACAACTGTACATACGATATTCTGATTAAAGAAACTTAAATAGTGATTGTTGCCATGACGACAGCTTCCCAAAATGCCCATTTTGCTAATCAATAGCCATAATGCCAACTCACGGTAGGAAACTGTTAATGTGTTTAACAATAGTTCGCAGATTATTATCCAATATCACAGCTTTAATTACTCAGGAAAATACTGTGGTTATTTTTTAATACATCCACGTCCAGATTATATTAATGAGTTCCCATGAATGATGAGATAGGCATCCAGAGTTTCTACTGAGAAGCAAGTAGAAAAAAATGCATTTCAGTTCAGTGATTGCAAGTTAAAAACAAGCATGAAAGCTCAATATATATCCCCTATATATATGTGTGTGTTCTTGTACCAGACAGGTAAACCTGATGATGTTATAGATAGATAGATAAAATAGATAGATAACAGCTCTTATTACAACTGTGTTGAAAATTTTACATTTCTAATTTAGTGTTTAAAATGTAATAAAGTTATTATTAATTATTAATATAAACATCGATCTAACTTAGGCTGTTAATATTATAAAAAAATAAATCAACTGAAATGAAAAACCGACAACAGCTGAATTTCAGTGGGGTGTAGTTACCATGCTACAGTGAATGAACAGCTATTTACATTATTGGGTTCAAGTTTTTAGCAAAATCTTTGGAATCATTAATTACAAGGGCGAGTGACACTTGAAGGTGTATACAAACACTTCTGATAAAAGGATCCGTTAACGCCGACTGTTTTTGGTTCGTTTGATTGTACGAATGAAACTGTTTACTAGCGTGTTCTTCACGGCTACGGGGAAACTAAAAGAGAGTATCACCTGGGAGGTGTGATAATAATAGACCGTTACGGCTGTGCAATTCACAAAGCGATGTCTCTAGCGGATTTCATTCGACGGTTTCACTGATCGAAGAAACTATCAATATGAGATCAAATTGCCGTGAAAATGTCTACCAAATTCATTATCAGACATATGCCGTTATGATACCCATGTATTATTGCATATTATAGAAACCCCACGCCAAACCATAACATAACACAACCTCAATGCCACAGTAGAGAGAGGAACACTTCGCGGCCTGTCAAGTATCCGGTTCTCATATATATTTTCACACCTTTGCAACCATCAACGTTTGAATGCGCTAACCGGCGTGCACGTATGCTAAGTACACAATGGAATGCCTCTTCTATTGATCTCTATGACATCGGTAAAAATTTAAAAACAAAAATATACAGACTTAGTCACCGGCGACGCCGATCGGACCAGCTGAACATGTTTCTAACGATCGAATCGCGTACGCCACATGCGAAAGAACTCCGCTTACCTTATTTTACTTCATCTGGCCTTCTACGTGACAGTTGGATGCAAGTTGGAGATATCTCAGTGGTCAGTCAGCCGAGTATGCCTAGCGAATACATGTCAAATAATTGAAAAGCTTTGGGCTCTTGTTGCCGATTGTCAGTTACCTTTGCGTATCACCGTGCAGTGGCGTTCCAATATGGCAACCATTATTTGCATATCAGTCTGTTGACGTCACCAGGGAAACGACATATAAGGCAGCGTATTTGCATATTGGGTTGAAAGTGCGCGAAAATCGAGCGTGGTTGTTTGGCACAATCGTAGAAAGTAGAAGTACAGACTGAGCGCAATTGTAAGATAGCATAACATAGGCGTTTGCACTACTATTCCGGAGTCATTAAACCCCGGTCTGAGATTATACGGAAATTTTGTCGGCAAACTTTTTTGTTCGCAATGAAATTATTATTCTATTAGTTTTATCCATGGGCAAGGGGTAGCTGATACAGATTACAGCGAATAAAAAATGCATTTTACGGGAAATAAAATGGAAAGTTCCATTTACAGTAAAAATAGGTTTTAAAATTTACAGATAAAGCAAATTACTAATTACATTTTAATAATATACTTAATATGTTTAAGCACAGTCCCTCTATCAGAGGGACTGTGGTTTAAGAATCAAAATTCGAAATTTCGAAACTAATAGTCTGAGGTTCACTACAACTCTCCCAAGACGTTGAATACACTTTCCATTTCAAATACTAGAAACTAGAAATTATTCTTGCATTCTCTTTGATTCCATTGAATATTTGAACACTTGTGACTCATTTTTTCCCACACGTTTTTTGTTACAAGTATCGTCGCTGAGGTCGCAATTTAATCTAGCTGAAACTCGTACCTTTTTGTTACATTACTATTTTGAAACATTTTCCAAAATTGGAGATACATAATTATAAAAAAATTGAATTATAAAAAAACAGGAATATCGTGCACCACACTTGAATTCTGCGTTCATTCACTGCAGTTCAACTATTTTAGGTTACTGCTGCTAAACGGTAAACTGCAATAGTAATCCGCAATAAGACATGTTTTATCATCTTTTTTAACGAGTGCCCGAATCTGACGCACACCACATGTATAACACGACTAGTAACAAAATGGTTGGTTTACTCTCAGGCTACGAAAGGTCAACACTCAGATTTTTTCCCGGTTAGATCTGAAAGTATGCGCCTGGGCGTTCGGCACAAGAACGACATAATACGAAAACACACGAATCTCTGAGTTTATGTCAATAAACTACGAGCAAGGTCCGCCGTGGCACGCATCCTACGGGCATAATCCCAAACTCGTACCTACAACAATAGCGGTGGCTAGTCTGTTTTTGGTTGGTTGTCCGAGTTCCTATACTAGTATTACTAGTCGTCTGAGGTTCACTACAACCCTCCCAAGACGTTGAATATACTTTCCATTTCAAATACTTAAAACTAGAAATTATTCTTGCATCCTTTTTGATTCCATTGAATGTTTGAACACTTGTGACCCATACTTGTCCAACCAGAACATAATAAAAAATGCGATATGCAGTTATTAGAAATGATTTACATACTTTATTTTCAATATTATTTCGATGTTACTCTTACATGTATGAAAAGGGAAAGTCAACACTAGAGGGCGTCACAATAGCTGCACGACAACAGACTTGCCCAATCACGAGCTGATTTACCAATAATACCATGTCAGAGCAGGAACATGGTTGAACAATACAGTTTCTCTGTGTTATATTAAATGTGGGTCCCATGCAACGTATGCATACGTGTATACAAACAATACTGTGCAGAGTGTGACACTCTCCAGAAACAATAAAATAAGAGATTTTGAAACTCTACACAACAAAGGTCATCAGCCTTTTTTTAAACAAGCATTTTGGTCTCGTTATTCTGTCAGATTCTAATAAATATGAGATTACACATGTGTACTTCAACATCCACTGTGAAGTATGTGAACATCCTGAAAATGCCACTCTCAATTCATATAAAAATTGTGTTCAACACACACTGTACATGTTGCTTGGGACTTACATGACCAATTGTGAGGACTGTGGTGCTAGAGAATTTCTTTTGGTTTATTTAAAAAAATATAGATTGGGGAGATTGTGAATCAGGCAGAACCCATGCCATCACACTGCACCCTTAGGTCCTGCAAAAGCACAATTTGATTGTAGTAAAGATAGTCAAGTAACCGTGAATAATAAAGCCAGTCACTAGTCTAGATATGGGCAGTGTTCAAAGTGTGAATTAATCCAATCTAGTTCACAACAGTTGGGATGGGAAGAGTCTATAGATAGACTGATAAAACCATACACAAATCAAGAAAGAATTTTCTGTGCTGAATTCCTCATAACTTGCATGATAAGTAGAGTAAGAACGACCTATCTAGGAAGTCACACGCGCACATACAATGACAATATTGGTAATGGTAAAAATCACGTCTCCAGGCAATGAAAAATGCCCTCTAGTGGTCAGAAGAAATGTACAATTGTTAGAAAGTGAAATAAATACTAGTAGCACATGTGCTTGTAACAATTTCCATAATGATCAGTACAATCACAGACCTTCTAAGGTCTATGGTACAACTAATACCGAATCACAAAGACATTAAACCTGCAGACTGCAAGCAGTGAAAAAGTGCAGTGCACTTGATACCAATAAATCAGCTGCATTTTTATTTTCGTAGAATATTGCATAATTTAACCAGAACACCACTCACTAATGGTAAACATGATAGATGGAATGACAAAAAGTAATACAGAAATCATAGATGATTTGTGTGAATGTTGCAGTGTTTCAAATGCTGATAAACGTTATAGCAAAATTGTTCTCTTCCCTATCCCCTAAAAAAGAATTAATAATTTGGAAATCACCAAAATATATGTTTTTGTTCAAAAGAATGCTTAATATTAAGAAATTCCACTGGATATTACTTTCCACAAATGTCCGGAAAATCTGCTAACATTTCACTCATTAACACAAACACATTTATTGCAATGGCATGAAGAATGGGTCAGTCACATTTTGTTGCTATGGCAACTGTCATATTAGCATATTTAGATTAGCAGCTTATTATACTAGAATTTAACAGCCAATCAACATCACAGTTGCCCAGTGAACACGAAAACAAGGATGATATAATATCAGACGTTAGTAGGTAATGAGAGAAATGGAAGTCAAATACTCAGGTTAAAGGTACCAGGCTTCAAGTAAAGGAATTGTTTCAGTATTCACTGAATACGAATATAAGTAATCTGAGGAACAAACCACAAAGGTATATATCAGTGGTGTCTTAAAATGCAGCTCCAGAATGCCCAGGATTTAACCAGTGTTTCACAAGATATGTAATTTAAATGGTATGCCAATCATTTGCTATATAGACGAAAGTTATCAGGTGTTTTAACATCCCATGTGCTAACATTCGA